CCGTTCACATGCATTTCACATAATAAATAATTTAAGGGTTCTATTCCCTCAAGTCAAGGTTAACCACGGTACTTACCTCGCTTTGCAATTTCAATCAATTACTCGACCACAACTTTTCCTTTTAAATTTGACTTCAAAACTTCAAATTTATTCACAAATAATTTGATATATTCAATGCAAATCGTAGGAATTAATTTCATATGAATTTACTAATTTTCCGGATAAAAATCCGAAATTCACTTTAAACATTGACAGTGGGGCCTACATCTCAAATCTCGGAAAAACTTACGAAATCCGAATACCCATTCCAAGACGAGTCCAACCATATAAAAATTATCAAATTCCGATCTCAAATGGACCTTCAAATCTTAAATTTTTATTTTTGAAAGATTTTATAAAAATATGATTTTTCTCCCAAAACTTCACGTATTCATGATATAAATGAGTATGAAATCATGAAATATAATCAATATAGGATAAGGAACACTTACCCCAATATTTTCCCGTGAATATCGCCTTACCCGAGCTCAAAAATTAAAAATTGTTGAAAATGGGTCGAAATCCCATTTCTATAACTTAAGTTATGTTTATCAGATTTTTATTCATCGCGATCACGGAAATTCGTTCGTGATCGCGTAGAACAACTTTTCCCAAGTTCATTTTACTCTTCGCGATCGCGAAGCACATTTTCGCTGCCCATTTTATTAACTCTACCCGATCGTGTAAATGGTCATGCGATCGCAGAGAACATTTTTTCAGCCTTACACGATCGTGTATTGACTTGTGTGATCGTGTAACACAAATTTGGTGCTTCCGTTTCTGCCTCATTCCTTCTTCGCGAACACGGCTTTGTCCACGCGTTCGTGGTGTCTTAGCTTTTCCAACTTTGCGATCGCGTACAATACTATGCGATCGCATAGTACAAATTTTTATCAGTGCTCAACAAGCCTTCGCGATCGCAGATGAAGCCACGCGATCGCGATTAAGGAAACCAGAACTGGAAATACCAGATTTTTTCAAAGTTTCAAAACACCTGTAGCCTATCTGAAACTCACCCGAGCCCTCGGGGCTCCAAACCAAACATGCACCCAAGTCCTAAAATATCATACGAACTTGCTCGCGCGATCAAATCGCCAAAATAATATCTAGAACTACGAATCAGACACCAAATCAAAGAAAATTTTCAAGAAAACTTTAAAACTTATATTTTCACAACCGGACGTCTGAATCACGTCAAATCAACTATTTCTCACGAAATTCGGCAGACAAGTCATAAATATTATAATGGACCTATACCGGACTCCGAAACCAAAATACGGACCGGTGTCAATAAATCCAACATCAGTAAATTCTTAAAATCATTAGCTTTCAAACTTTTAATTTTTCATCAAAATTCCATATCTCGGGCTGGGAACCTCGGAATTAAATTACGTGCATACGCCCAAGTCCCAAATAACGATACGGACCTACTAAAATTTTCAAAATACTGATCTGAGTTCGTTAGCTCAAAATGTTGACCAAATTCAACTCAGTTGAGTTTTAAAGCTCTATTTCACATTTTAATCCATTTTTCACACAAAAACTTTCCAGAAAATTATACTGACTGCGTACACAAGTCGAGGAGTGATAAAATAGTATTTTTGAGATCTTAGAACATAGAATTAATTATTAAATTTAAAAATTGATATTTTGGGTCATCACAGGATTCTATTTAAGAACAATTAATGTGAAAACATGCAGCACTGAAGCATGTTATATCATTTATTTACTCCAAGCTAGAAAATTACCCATGCTTATAAGCCAAGGATAAAAAAAAATAGGTATAATGGTTACCTTTTAGATAATAGTTTTATAGCTAGTAATCGAAATTTGTTGAGTTTGAGGTTTTGAAAATTGTACAAGGACTAGTAATTTGTGATAGATTGAAAGACTTTCCAAATTCCACGTACCTCTAGGGGCTCATCAAGCTAGAAATGAATTATCCTTCATTTAGTTTTTATATCCTCCATATGTTGTGCTAATTGCATACTTTGTTAAATGTATGTCATTCATAATATTGTTATTTTGTACAACTGCACATCTATTTTTTTATACGTTTTTTTGAATATGTTGGGCTTGTAGGCTAAAATTCTATAATGAATATGTTAAATCAGTTCATAAATATGAATTTTCTAATATTCGTCATCAGTTCATTGGCTAAAATTCTAAATCAGATTAGGCTAAAATATGATTTTAGAATTTTCTTCATTGGGAGTGCCAATATAACAACCTAATCTTCTAACATTTAAATGGTTTAACAACTAATAATGTAGCTTATAATAGTTTAAAACTTCAAATTATTTGAAAAATAAGTGCATCATTTTAAATAAGGGTCACATGATACCATGAGCGAACTTATATGTGGCCAAGGGTGGTCAACTGAATACCATTCGCGGAAAAATTATATAGTGTATAAGGTAAAATACTATTTATTATTGATCAGAAAATAGACTTTCAACACCCTTGCATAGCCCACTAGCAAAGTACGTTCAACCTTTGAACACCCTTATTGAATTTTCTGGTTCGCTACTGCATGATGCACAAGAAAGGAACTCAGGTCAAGTTCTTTAAATTTCTTTCTGAGGATGAAGTCTTAGTTTTGATTATTTTTAATTGTAAAATCATACTTGTAATCTTTTACATAAATTTTTCTCCTTTATTTTTCTTTTTATAATTTATTTTGACATTCTTCTCGTCCTTACTGAAAATCATATGGAGTATAATTTTCAAATCCAAATAGAAAGTAAAAAGTATGCTTGAACCTCTATATTGTCTTTTTGCTAATAAGGTTTTAGCTGGCATATAGAAAGCAAAGCTAGCTGGTAATCCGACTTTAAAAGTTGGTTGATATATAGAGTATCAAGAAACAATGAACAAAAAAGGAGTCAGAACAAAGAGAGATGCTTTAGAATAAAGTACCAACAAAATCTGATACTTTAACCCTGTTAGACCTCATAGCATTTTCTTGTTGATATATATTGTTACTATAAATAATGCATAAATCGTCATGTGTTTTTATATGGACTTAATTTACACACACCGACATTAAAACAAATTACAATGTCAATGTAACTAAACCTTTTGTGTGGGAGTTATTGTATATAATTGTATTTAATACAATATTAATTGACAATCTAGAATAAACGTAAGTAATCTATTATAACAGGTTAAAGTACATTGACGATGTAAAATGTTCATTACATTGCCAATATATATAACTTAAATTTTATAGGGATTTAATGTACACACCAACAGTAAAAAATTACAATATTAATGTAATTTAACCTTTTGTGGGGACCTACCTTATTTGCTAGAATTTATGTACCATGTATTAACAGTATAAAAATATTTATACAATCAGATTGTGTTACCACATATATAACGATATTTAATACAATATTAATTGATAATCAAGAATAAATGCTAAGTACCCTATTATAACAGGTTAAAGTATATTAATGGTATATATAACTTAAATTTTATTTCTCAAGTTACTAATTATGCATTTTATGGACAGTTAATTACCTCAATAATCTTTAGGTGTCCAATAATATAAAAATTCTTTCACATTACAAGTAGATAGTACAGTAACATGTTGTATTGCTAGATCTAGTAGCGGTTATTAACTTATTATACATACACATAATGAAAGAGAAAATGACAAATACATTAAAATAATAATTATTATTATTATTATATGAAGATAATTACAGGTCGAAATTTCGCCCCCCTCGTCCGCTGTGGTGTTTCAGAGGTAGGGAAGGGAATGGCCAAACCACACTTTTTTCAATCAATATTACAGCATATCGTAATGGCAAGAAACAAACAAACAATACTGAGCCCCCTACCCCACCCCCACCCCCACCCCCAACTCTCCACTCCTATCTCCTCCACCAAAAAAACAATAATAGAAAATTTAAAGAAAAATTTAAATTTAATATATCGACGGAAATTTACTATAATAATAAACGTTAGCACTCAGGATTATGGTAAAATTGTAAGTATATTTTCATCCTTAACTAGGCGGAGGCGAATTCATAGTCTAAACCATGGGGCACGTGATCACATGGTCTCACCGTCAAACAGGTATTTTATATATGTAGCTTTTAGAATTGGCTAATGATTATCTGTTGACACATATGCTCCAAAAAGATTGAATGTTGTACTTGATTAAATATTGAATTATTTACTTTGAGGAACAAGGATCGATTCCCACTTAATATTTATTTTTTCTACCTTTTTAGTAGTGCACCCATATTCAAAAAATTCTAAGTCCGTCTTTGACCAAAAGTCTTAGGTTTCGAGCAGGAGTCGACCGGGTACCGGATACCGAATAGAAAACCAAAAAATAAAAAAAAACTAAACCCTCCTTCTACTTCTTTTTACCATCTTCTTCTTCTTGACTTATTCGGTTGTAGACTGCTAAGCTAGTATAATGCAGCCAAAAACTTTCTCTTCCCTCTTTCCCCCATGAAACCCTAGACTCTTATTTGGCTAATACATAATCTGACAACTTCTGAAAAGAGCCCACCTTAAAATCCCTAGCTTAATTCCTAAAAGCCCAGTTTTCTATGTACCATATCCTCTATATATACACCATATAATAGCTTAATTCTATTTCTCTATTTCCTTATTACCGTGGGCACTATTAAACATATGATCAGATTAATTAATTAGCAGAAGCTATATAGCCCATTTTTTTCGCTTTTCTTTAGTAGGCACTAAGCTAGTGTTGTGTTTCTATACTTAGGTCTATACTGTATAGGAGAAAAGGGGGAAGAAAAGGGAAACCCTGATAGGGAGTAAAAAGAAAGGACCAGTTTATGTTTGGTTTTTGTTTTGCTTTCTAAAGATAGATGTATTTAGTAGGGAATAGTATTATGTCTTTCTTTATATATACACAAGTTTTACCGTTTTTGATAGTACATTATATTAGCCCTTCTAAAAAGCTACATATAATAGAGAGCGAATAAATAAAAACTTTTTTCTCTTTAGTAGTGTCTAAAAAGTTCTATATATTTGTTGTTGTTCCTTCTTCTTCCTTCTTGAATTTACCCCTTCACTCATCATTTCTTCCTCTTCTTCTCCTTTATTAATTAGCTGCAAACATTTTCCATTAAAATGGCAAGCTGCATCGATGTTGCTTCTGAAAAACTTTGCTATATCCCTTGCAACTTTTGCAATATTGTTCTTGCGGTATATTTTTTGCAATTTTCTTTCTTGGTTCCAACTTTTTCTTGTATTTTGTATGAACGTTTTTATCTAGTCCGTGAGCATATACACGATTCAGGATCTAGAGTCAGTGAGTTCAAAATTCGTATAATTTTGTATTAAATTCGTTTTGCATATGTATATATAATTTTAACAGAAAGTTTTGAGATTAGTTGAACCTACGGAACTCATTCTTAATCCGCCTTTTATATGTGAGTGTGCTTGTATGTGAATTTAGTGCTTTTTCTATTTTCTTCTTTTTGTGCTTGAACTTTCTTTGTCATGTGAGAGGGTAGTCTAAGAAGAGAAAAAGATGTTACCAAGCTGAATAAAGCTGATTTTGAGAATTCAGAGATAGTTTGGTGGTATTATATATACACAAATCAAGTGATCTAGTTTCTAGGTGTTTTCTTTGTTTTTAATTTGCTTTGAGAAGTCAAGTCCCCATCCATATATAGACTTTTCTTTTTCTTCTTCTTCTTCTTCTTCTCTTGATCTTTTGCAGTCAAAGAAAAAAAAAAGTCATACCCTGAAAATTCTGAACCTTCCAATCAGCTGATAGAAAGAGAATTCTAATTTCCTCTGTTGAATTTATGATTTTGAAGATAATTTGATGAAGACAAGTCCTTTAATTTCTACTTATTAGAGATTTAAATCTCTCTCTCTCTCTTTCTTGCTCTGTGCTATATACCTTTCTTCTTCTTTTTTCTACTGAAAAGATTGCACTAAGTGCAGGCACTATATAGCTAGCTGACTAACTTCTGATGAAGTGTGCTATAAAAAAGATAAGCTTTTTCCTCATGTATTTTTCAATAATCAAATTCTTCCCCTTACTTTAACAGATTTAGGGTTTGTTCGTGATCTTTTTCAAGAAATCACTCAACTATATTCCACAAAATAGCTATATTTTGTAGGTTTTGAATTGTTGTTGTACATAAAAGGATGGGTTTAGGATGAGTCTGGTCTTATTTGTACATAATCTTTTTAAGCACAAATATACATAGTTCAAGTCGAAGTTAACATGTTTAATTGAACTCAAAAATCCACCCTAAATCCGCCTCAACAAAGAGATCTCAAGATTTAGAAACCCCATCTCTCAAGAAGTGTTAGTAATCTTGATCTTTAATTTTGTGAGGTTTTAAGTGGTTTTTTCCGTCTTGCACGAAGCGACTTGTCTATATTGTCTAAGAGAAAAAAAAAACATATGATTATGTTCTTTTTTATGAAGATTCTGTTAATGTTTTTTTTTATATTTGGATAATTTTTACAGGTGAGTGTACCATGCAGCAGCCTATTTGATATTGTGACAGTTCGATGTGGTCACTGTACAAATATGTGGTCCGTTAATATGGCAGCTGCCTTTCACTCCTCTTCTTCTTCTTCTTCCTCTTGGCAAGACATTCATCATCTTCAGGTTTTTGTTTGGTCCAAAACAATATGATAACTTTTATTGTGTTTTTTTCTTTTTGCAGCTCAAATTGTGGGCGTTTTGTTCATAGGCTGGCTTCTGAATTCTAGGGTTTCTTTGGTTTTTTACTTCCCTTCTTTTGAGGGAATAATTAACTACTATATGCAGACATATTGATACTCAGATCGAGTTTTTCAAAAAATTTCTAGTACTACTACTAATATAGCCGCCATAACTAAAACCTATCTATTCATTTTTCTATTTGAAGGTTGCAGCTTTTATAAACTAGGGACTGTCCTTTGACCCACTTAGGTTACTTTTTTCTTGTGTAATTGTTTGATTTGATAGTTTAGGTTGTTTGAATTATATTTATTTATTAATGATTTTATTTTCTATCAGGGGTTTGTCCTCTACTGTAGAAACATTGCCTCAAACCTAGAGTATAGTATTTTATGGGTTTCCTTTTGGATGGTCTTCTCATCAAATCTTTGCAACAACTACCTATTTGGGTTTCATTTATCATTCAATATATCCTAACTAATTCAGTCACTTCAATGCTGTTATGACATCTTTTTTCATAAAACATCACTTCAACCTTTTTGGTCAAAACAGAAACAAACCCTCTTAAACCCACCCCCCTCACCACCCACCCCAAGCAGGAGCGGATTTATAGCTTAGACTATGGGTTACGTGAACTCATGCTTTCTCTGTCAAACTAGGTATTTTATGTATGTATTTTTTAGAATTTGTCTAATATTAAATACTAGCACCCATGCTTCAAAAAAGTTGAATGGTGCACTTAATTGAATACTGAGTTATTTACCCAAAGAAACAAAGATCGATTCGCACTTTATACTTTTTTTTCTCCTTTCTTTAATGGTGCATCCATGTTTTATAAATTCTAAATTCACCTCTGTCCCCTCCTCTTTTACCACTAACCTAAAAAGAAATCGAGGTTCATGAATTATGATAATAAAAGGAAAAATAAAGAGAATTCCTCTTACCTGTACTTATTAGTAGCAAAAAACAAAAAGATTAAGGGAGCTGCATTACATATTCTCCTGTTGATTGCTTCAACTCTTACTCATTAAGAAGAATTTGGATCTTGGAAACTCCCCATAAAGGAAAACAATTTATGCCCGGCTTCTAAATTTAGGTTTGGTGTAATCAATATAATAGTCGGGCTTGACTTTATTTAAAACAAGGTATATAGATAAAATATTAGGATTTTGAGGTATATATTGAACACTTTTTATCGGCAAATTTTTTTACTTTTTTGAAGTTTGAACCCCTGAGTAAAATCTTGGCTTCGCCACTGATCGAAGAAGAAGAAAAAGGGAGAATAACTCAAAGAATTGATAGTTGAGTGATTAGACTGATACTAGTACATTAATTAAAGTATGCCAATCAATAAAAAATAAGTAGCAAGAGTTTAAGTTTTTTTTTTTTTGACAATTAATTTGTACTTTGTATTAGCAATTTCTCTTTGTTTTGGCAACACTTATATTAATAATAAAGTCATGTATATTTTTGACTTAATTTTGTAGGTGCCAAACTACACTGCTCCTGAGTATAGAATGGATTTTGGTTCATCAACTAAATGCAACAACAGGATGACAATGAGAACACCAATCACAAACAACACTCACGAGGAGAGGATTGTGAATCGACGTAATTATTTATATATAGAGACTCCTAATTAAATTCTTTTGTTTTAAATTAGGACATTTATTCTCTTCATATTGTTTTAACTATTTATTTATTTATTTACTTATTTGGGGTTATTAATGGTTGTTGTGTATTCTTTTTCAGCTCCCGAGAAGAGGCAGCGAGTACCTTCTGCATATAATCAGTTCATAAAGTAAGGCAGCTGTAACACTGATGACTTGAATATATGTAGAGATATCTTTATTAAAGCTGTGGAAAATTAACCACTATATATCAATTTCTTTTTGTCACAAAATGCCTAAATATGCAGAGAAGAGATTCAGAGGATCAAGGCTAATAATCCAGACATCAGTCACAGGGAAGCATTTAGTACTGCTGCCAAAAATGTAAGTCTTTTATCCTTAGATTCTTGAAATATGACTTTATTACTTTAATTTTACTTCCTCCATTCTTTGCTTATAATTTTTCGATTTAAGTTGCATACACTGACCCGAAAAAGTTATATATACTCTAAAATAATATAGAAATTTTATATTATCAATATAATTTAATCTGTTATAACATGTTATTTACTCTGTTTTTCGAATTACAAGATCATGTTTGTTATTAGGAGATACATGTTATTGCAGGTAATTTAACCTGATAGTGTAAAAATATTATACACTGTCAGGTATAGATTTTAAACTCAAAGGTTTTTTATTATATCTTTTCTGGATTTAACTTATATATAGTAATCGTGTAAATAATTTTTAACTATAAATAAATTTTAACAACAGGTAATTTGTTTGGTTTTCTAAGTTACTAATCACACTTTATATGAATGTAATTATTTTTTAGACGATCTAGTAATTTAAAATTCTATTATTTTGTGTATATATAGAATAGTTAAACTCTATTTATTGAAGAGTGGGGTGATGACTGATTAGCTTTGTGTGGTGTAGTGGGCACATTTCCCTCACATTCACTTTGGACTCATGTTGGAGAGCAACAATCAAGCCAAACTCTCTTGTGGTAATGCACCTACAACTCAAGCAAATTCCCACTTTTAGTAGTCTATCCACATTCTAGAAAATTAAACTAAATGGTAATGTCTGAAATTTGACTACTACTATTAGACAATATAAATTTTTTAAGACTCTTAGTTTTTTTAACTAATTATAACAAGTTATTTATACTCAACTTGTTCAGGACTGAGGCGATGTTGTTGTTATTGCTGTATAACAGATTATTTGTTTCAGTTTTAGATTACGCGTGCCACAATAAGTTTTATGTTAGACTATATATAGTTTTCTTTGGCTGCAACATTTCCTTAAGGGGTTTTGTTTTCTTCCTTTACAATTCTCAGGGGGCAGAAAATTGTCCAAATCATAGAGCTCTTTGCTAAAGAAATAAAGATCTTCAATTTATGGAGAGTTTCTACAAGCTGTGTGTTGAATTGAGGACAAGAGTGTGACCTCAAGGTGTTCTATGGAGTGTGGACATAAAACGATATATTATAGCCTTTCTAATTCGTTGTATTTCACTTATATATTATGCAAGTTGAAAAACTAAGTTCCTTTAATTTATTGTCTATCTCTATCAATTGTCTTTCTCTAATGAGAGGAATTTAGAGAGTGTTTCCATATATCTCGTTCGTTAACTTATATGAAATTGATCGTTGAATGCTTATATATCCCATTGAAATCATGTTAAGTTACATGTTTGATATAATAAGTGAGGAATTTAAGTTAGTTAGAAAAATTAAAGGTATCAAGAAATGAAGTCAAAGATAGCAACAAGTGGTCAGCACAAAAATGTTTATAAATGTTGAAATATGAGAAAGTATATAAAAACTAAAAGATTTCTTTGTTAAATGTTGAAATATAAGTTGGTGTAAGGATATCCATAAATGTAGTTGTAAAACATCTTCATCTTCTAAGTAAGGGGTGTACAAATAAAATCGACAAACCGCACCAATCTGATAATCCGAATCAATCCGAGAAAATAAATCCGACTATATAGTTTGGTTTGATTTGGTTTGGTGTTGGAAAAAAAACTGACCATATTTGGTTTGGTTTGGTTTTAACTAAAAAAAAAAAAAGTCAAACCGAAACCAAACCAACCCGACATTATATGTATAGAAGTTTTAAATAAATGTACTACATAAAAATATTTATTGTCGTGTAGTTTATAAATATTTCTTAAGCTTTTTCATAGTTTTATCTTTTAACGTATTATTTTAAACTTGGGCTTATAATTTTTGGATGCTCCAATAAGTTTTATAATCCATAAATGTTAGTAACTCAAATAAATCCTAAACCAAAATCAAATCAATACTAATGCTAATAAAATACATTCAATTCAATTGTACTATGAATGAAAATAGTTTTGGATATCTATTTTTTAGTTTTTTCATGGTTTAGATAAAATGTACAACTTATTTTCTTTTAGTGGTTAGTCATGTAAATAATAGTATTTATTAGTCGTAATTTTAAATTATATTTATTTTCATTATGGCTTATTAATAATATTTATTTTATGCTATTTTATTATCTTTATTGTTGAATATTTTAGTACAATGTCATGACTCATCTCATATTTATGTTATTTTTGAAAAACACCTTACATAGTTCTGTCTTACTAGGATTAAAGAAATATTTGGAGCACAAATTTTACGTTTTGTGCTATGAAGACTTTATGAAAAAAAATTGAAAAAATCCGAAAACCCAAAAAATCCGAGAAAACCCGAGATTAAAAAACCTGACTTTTATTGGTTTCGTTTGATATTTAGATTTAATAACCCGATACAATTGGATTGGTTTGGTTATTAGAAAATCTGAACCAACCTAACCTATGTACACCCCTACTTCTAAGTAAACAGATTAGTGAACCTGTTCATGATTCATCCTTAGTCTAAGCATGTTTAAAATAAAATTTAGCTAGCGTTTGGACATAGATTTGATTGAAACTTGAAAAAAGAGTTTTTGAAGATGTGTTGAAAAATAAGTTTTGAAAATTGAAGTTGTATTTGGGCATGCATTTTATTTGAAAAAATATTAAAGTTTTGTGAGTGAAAGAAAAAATTTCACTCAAAAACTATCCATTTTTGGGAACTTGAACTCTTTTTTTTCAAAAACTGATCATATTCCATGAACAAACAATGTTTTCAAATTTTTTTGAAGAAAAAAAAACATCCAAAATCTATAACCAAACGGGAGCTTAAAGGGCAGTATATTAAAACTTCTATCATATCATTTCATTATGTGAAACCCCTACCATAACCGGAGGTGAAAGCTTGGATGGACAGATTTAATTAAGAAAATAAAAAAATCACTTCATTACCGATTACCACCTTTTCTTTTTTACCAATTACCACCTTTTTTAACATCCAAATATCAAGTAATAAACATGGCAATTATATAAGCTTCGGTTACAATTTGAAATCCAAATATAGAAAAACTTTTTACTGAATTATATTATAAAGTAACAAAGGTGAAGTTATTTATGTCTTGTAGCTTGATGAATGGTCTTATCTTTAGTACTTATGTTCATTATAAACTTCCTCTAAAGTCTTGTCAATGGGAAATTTTGAATGCTGCAGATGTACCACATTTAGAAAATGTGTATCCATTCCATTTTGGTTACTTCTATTTTCTATACTTCACTCGAATTATGTCCTATAACATCATAACCAGAAATTAGACCTTTCATTTTAGGACAAGCAAAAACCTAAAACCTTTTGACATGTTAGTGTTAAGCTGTTAGGTCTTACTTTTGGTCGGACGATACATGACTTGGATTCCTACTTCTTAATTACGCCCCTCCCACGGTAAAAACTTATTCGCATATACCAATATTATCTATTTTACAATAGTTAAATGATAAATAAAGGTAAGTTAGTAGTAACTATATTTGTGAAGGTATATGTTATGTATTTATTAATTTTGTATAAATACTCCCCCTCCTATCTGATCTTTCATTTTGAAATTTAAAAATCATCGTGAAAGACACGAGTTAATAGTTGTTTACATTTTGTTAAAATAAGTAGTGTATATGGTTTTTTTTGTCCAGTAGAACAAAAGGTTTTAACCTAGACAATAGGATAATAACATGTTATATCTAATTAAATTGTATTAATAGCGTAAATATTCTTTACACCATTAGGATATATAACTTAAATTTTAAGGGCACTTGAAAAGAACTTGCTTTCTTTGTATATATATATTGAAAAGACATAATTAAGTAGATAAAATTGTATTATCTCTAGCAGTTTAGGCCTTTCAATTAGATGGCCATGATCTTACAAGGATAAGATACCTTTAGAGGAAGTCCTTTTTTTTTTACACAAGTTGCATGCAATTAAAGAAGATGCTTACTGCAGTTTGTTATTTATTTTTCCTTAAACACAAAAAGAGCCTTTCTTATTTTCACCCCCTTAATTTCTCTTTAAAGTTAATTGGTTCCAAGTATCAAACTATTGTCTACCCTTTTCATGAAAAGGAAAATATTTGGAGAAAAATAGCATTTAAAATATAGTGCTTTCAATTTGAAATTTGATATTGAGTTGAAAAAAGATCACCGGAACTCTTATTCTTTTGAAATATCACCACTAACACCTTATACTCTTTTTTCTTTGTTACTAAAATGGATTAATATTATATAATATTAAGTTGCCTCATTATAAAATAGATTTATATTATATAACACCTGATACTATGTTGTACCAAGTTCTCAAACATCACTGTTTGACTTTGTGCACCCAGATCACTGTGTGTGTGTGTGTGAAATTATTTTATGTAACATTCTCTTGTAAGTTGGAGTGATATTGATGGCAAAAGTTGTTTTCTTGTTTTTCACCCAAAGGTGAACATATCTAGTAAAAGACCTTTTATGTCCAAGCATATCATCATATAGTTTACAACTCTCCAACAAAATGAATCAATAATACCTCTCTGAAAATGGACCACAAAATGCCTACTGCCCTGGCATCAAAGCACTAAGAATAAATACTTTAGCAATTTGCTTCACAATAGCTTACTCAACATTTTTGAAAATGAAACTGTATAGCCGTTCTTAAAATAAAAGCCTAAAAAATATATATTTTTTGTACATTTTTTGTATATACTTACATTTTGTATGGCATATACAAATTTTATATATTTTTTCAACTATATAATATAAATAATTTCTGGCACTGACTAAAAGTGATAATACCCCTATTCTTTTTTCTTGTACTTTTCAAAAGAATAGGTTGTTGTGGTCCAGAACTTTTACTACATGACTGTGTTTACCAATAAAAGGGGATCAAGATTATATGTCATCAATTGTTTCCCACTTTTGATGAGCACTTGAAATATTGCACCTTTTATCATGGAGCACCTACTTCACTGTTTTGTGGAGTATATAATTTTTACGCGTAAACTAAAACATAAAGTTATGATCAACCATAGTTGGTTAAATTGCAATCATAGTGTAATAATTAATATTGACATTATTAATTAATAGATATAACTTAAATCTATTATAAAAAAAAATCAAATTATGGTGGATGTCTACTCTTCCTCCATGATCTTCTCAAATGCTTAATGACATATTCAATGACATATTTTTATGCTTAATGACATATTTTTCTTCACTTTTCATGCCTATATAAAGGCCTTGTAATAGATAGGAAAATACATACAATTGAAGAAGAAATACTCTTCCTTCTCTCTATCTCTATTTCTTGTTCATGTTTTACTAAATTGCTTTTATTTCATAACACGTTATCAACACGACTGTGCTCCCATTTTCGTACACCTCCATATAGGCATAGACTGTGCTTTGTATTTGCTATCCTTATACCAACAATTTTGTGGCTATCAAACAAAATAAAGATAGAAACCAATGGGCTGGATACTAATACAAGATAAGTTTTCATCTTTCTAGCTTATTCATATTTTTATTTTTATCTTCCACTAATCTCAAATTTTTTCTATTTTGCCATAATAACTCACAATAAGCTTTCAGTATTTTATTTCCATTTTGTTATAGCTTGAAAGTGTGCGAGCCCTGCATTTGGCAAGTATAGTTTTTGCTTATTCTTTCTTGACGTCTGATATGAATTTTTAGTTATCGTTTGGCTATCCTTCAAGGGATCTATTCATGAACCAAATCAAAATGCATGAATATATATTTTGTAATTAAATTTTAAAACAGGTACTCTTTACTCAATTCTTTAACTTATATTTAACGTGCTGAATAGTGCTTACATATATGTGCGCAGATATCAGACAACCAATGTGCCCTTTACCCTTTTCACGCTAAGATGAATGTTACTATGGTAATATTTAATGAATAAAACTAAACTGGTACTATTCATGCATAGTTGGTTAAATGCATGCATAAATAAACATAATATTGTGGTAGGATAGTTGTAAGCATAATAGATATTTTGATTTACAGTCAATCTTAGCCTTTGACTATCATCTATAATCCATATATTGTGATGTGAATTGGATCGCATATGTAGATACTGGAAGTACTACAGAAATAGAATAATTTTGTAAACGATAAACCAAATCAATAAAGTAAGACGTAAATCTAAAAGTGATAACACTTAGAAGGAATGAAACGTTTTTGTCCTACAACCTTAAAAAGTGGTTA